GCAACACAAGTAGGGGCGATCATGTCAAAATTACTCCCTGGTTGGAACAATTATAGAAAGAAGCTTTTGCATATGGCAGAAGATATAAATCTCCAAAATCTCTTGAATGGGATCCAAATTGAAGAGGAAACGAGAAAACGAGAAAAATATTTTTCCTCAAAAGATTTCACTAAGATTAATTATGTTGAAGGGAGCAATAGTAAGTTCAAAAAGAACTTGAAAGCGAATAACATAGGAAAGTTCAAAAAGACATCTTTAGGCACCAACAGTGGCAAGAAAAATGCAAATTGCCACCATTGTGGAAAGAAATGCCACTTTATTTGTGATCGAGGTTCAAGAAAAATGAGGACGCCAAATTAAACAAAGTAAATATGGTAGAGGAAACTTATAATGAAGATATAATTGATATGGTGTCTCAAATGCAAATTGGCATGATCACTGAATTGAACATGGTTGCAGCCGTTAAATCTTTTGACTAGTGACTTGATTCTAATGCTACCATACATGTTTGCAAATGATAGAGTACAATTCAAGATCTACAAAATCGAATAGGATGGTCAAGAAGTACTAATGGGCAATCACAATGGTGCTAAGGTTCTTGGAAAAGGGACTGTTGAACTACAATTCACTTCTGCAAAAATAATGACTCTGACAAATGTTTTTCATGTCCCAGACATTAAGAAAGATCTTTTATATGTAAATCTACTATGTAAAAATGGTATTAAAGTGGTGCTGGAAGCCGACAAATTTATACTGTCAAAGAATGATGTATTTGTTGGCAAGGGTTATCCATTTGATGGAATGTCCAAACTCAGTATTAATAAAGTGAATTCTTCCATTTATATTGCTGACTCTTTTTCTACTTTATGACATTCTTGTTTAGCACATTTGAATTATAGATCTTTAAAATATTTGTCTAAACATGGTTTAATTTCTTGTAAAGATATTACATTTAAAAATTGTGAAATCTGCACACAAGCTAATACAAAGAAACCTTTTCAAAAAGTACAAAGAAAGATTGAAATATTAGATTTAGTTCATTATGATATATGTGAGTTTAGTGGTGTTTTAACTAGAGGAGGAAAATGCTATTTTATTATTTTCATTGATGACTATTCTAGATTTACTTATGTTTATTTAAAGTCTAATAAAGATGAAGCCTTTGAGTTTTTCAAACAATATAAGGCTGAAGTTAAAAACCAAAAGGAAAGGAAAATTAAATCCTTCAAAGTGATAGGAGTGCTGAATATTTTTCAAATAAGTTCTCTTTGTTTTGTGAAGCAAATGGAATCATTTATCAGAAAACTGCACCTTACATTCCACAACAAAATGGCTTAGCAGAAAGAAAGAATAGGACACTTACTGATATGATTAATTCAATGATCATAAGTGCAAATGTTCCTACATATTTATGGGGTGAAGCTCTTCTTGTTGCATGCCATATACAAAACAGAATTACCTCTAAGAGAACTCATGTGTCACCATATGAAGTATGGAAGGGCAAAAAGCCAAATTTGGATTATTTAAGAGTTTGGGGATATTTGTCTTTTTATAAGTCTCACGACCCTAAAAGATCAAAATTAGGTCCTAAGGCCCAGTTATGGGCGCGAATCCTGTACGGTCAAGTGCAGCAGAGAGCTGAAGACTTACAAGGGGCACAATCCGCTGCAGCACATGCACAGATGCACCAGCAACAGGTGCTGGGATCAGATGCAGTGCGGAGCACGGATGCACCAGCATAAGGCTGGGATCTGGTACGACGCAAACACAGTGGACACCAAGCCTTACTGGCTAGTGTCCTATAGGCCTGACAAACGGGTCGTGTCTGTCATGTTTGTATCGTTTCGTGTAACACCTGTTATTTTAATGGGTCGTGTCGTGTCACACCCGTTATCTTAACGGGTCCTTAATAGGTTGGGTCACTTTACCCAATGGGTAAAGTGACCCACCCTTATATTTGCACATACCACACATCGTCACATAAATATTACTTCAAAACATTAAAACACATTTGTCGTTTAAGTACTACATTTACACTTGAAAATAAGAGTCAAATAAACAAACATCCATACACTACTAGTCTATTACAAAATATTAAATGTGCAAGGATATGGAAAATGAAAGAGTTTTTGTTTTCAAGGTTGTGAAGCATTTCTCAAAAGTGTAAACCTTGCTAATGGAACTCAAAGCTTGCATGTTATTCCTTTTACAAAATCCTCAATTTTCATCGATCATCATGATCTAGTGTAAATATTTTAAATTGAAGATCAAATTCATTCACTGTATTCATATAGGGTCAAGGAGTGTAGCTGTAAAAAATCATCAAAATTGGAGTTAAAATAACCGTTAAATCGTGATTTTTCGTTGATAATCGTCGAAAAGTTTTGTCTCGTTACTTGATCTCTGAATGTTTGTTTTTGACGATTTTTGGCGTATGCGATCTTGAAGTATATACAAACAAGTTGACAGTTGGATCGTTGAAATTAGATTCGTAGAATGCGTATCCCATCAAAACGATAGATTCACTAACGCTTAGAGTTTATTTTTACTTTCATTAAGCAGAACATAAGATTTTGTGGTATCTACTAGTGTAAATATTGTAAATTGAAGATCAAATTCATTCATTGTATTCATATAGGGTCAAGCAGTGTAGTTATAAAAAATCATTAAAATTGGAGTTAAAATAACCGTTAAATCGTGATTTTTCGTTAATAACCGTCGAAAAGTTTTGTCCCGTTACTTGATCTCTGAATCTTTGTTTTTTGCAATTTTTGGCGTATGCGATCTCGAAGTATATACAAACATGTTTGACGTTTGGATCGTTGAAACTAGTTTCGTAGAATGCGTATTCCATAAAAAAATAGATTCACTAACACTAGAGAGTTTATTCATACTTTCATTAAGTATAACATATCCACGAGTGTAAATAGTTTAAATTGAAGATTGAGTTCATTCATTGTATTCATATAGGGTCAAGGAGTGTAGTTGTAAAAAATCATCAAAATCGGAGTTAAAATAACCGTTAAATTGTGATTTTTCGTTGATAACCGTTGAAAAGTTTTGTCTCGTTACTTGATCTCTGAATGTTTGTTTTTTGCAATTTTTGGCGTATGCGATCTCAAAGTTTATATAAACATGTTGACAGTTGGATAGTTCAAACTAGTTTCATAGAATGCTTATCCCATCAAAACAATAGATTCACTAACACTTAAAAGAGTTTATTCATACTTTCATTAAGTATAACATTCTAGTATAAATATTTTAAATTGAAGACCGAGTTCATTCATTGTATTCATATAGGGTCAAGGAGTGAAGCTGTAAAAAATCATCAAAATCAGAGTTAAAATAATCGTTAAATCGTGATTTTTCGTTGATAACTGTTGAAAAGTTTTGTCCCGTCACTTCATCTTTGAATGTTTGTTTTTTGCGATTTTTGGTGTATGCGATCTTGGAGCATATACAAACAAGTTTGATGGTTGGATCGTTGAAATTAGATTCGTAGAATGCATATCCCATCAAAACGATAGATTCACTAACACTTAAAGAGTTTATTCATACATTCATTAAGTATGACATAAGATTTTGTCGTATAGGGTCAAGGAGTGAAACTGTAAAAAATCATCAAAATCGGAGTTAAAATAATTGTTAAATGGTGATTTTTCATTGATAACCGTCGAAAAGTTTTGTCCCGTTACTTGATCTCTGAATGTTTGTTTTTTGCGATTTTTGGCGTATGCCATGTTGAAGTATGTACAAACAAGTTTGACGGTTGGATTGTTGAAATTAGTTTCATATAATGTGTATCTCATCAAGACGATAGATTCACTATCACTTAGAGTTTATTTATACTTTCATTAAGTATAACATAAGATCGGAGTTAAATTGAAGATTGAATTCACTAATGCAAATATTTTAAATTGAAGATCGAATTCATTCATTGTATTCATATAGGGTCAAGGAGTGTAGCTGTAAAAAATCATCAAAATCGGAGTTAAAATAACCGTTAAATCGTGATTTTTTATTTATAACCGTCGAAAAGTTTTGTCTTGTTACTTGATCTCTGAATGTTTGTTTTTGCAATTTCTGGTGTATGCGATCTTGAAAGGGTAATTAAGTTGGCTATTTCCTAGCAAATGTAAAGAGTCTGTAAGTTGGCTATTTCCTAGTCTTAGGATTAATTATAACTTGCAAAGGTTGGAGCTTGCGTTAAATGAGGAGCATGATTGACAAATATTACACGGCAAAGTTTTTTTTTCTGGTAAGAATCATTTGCATTCATATAGGATTTGTGTTCCCTATTAAAGATTGATTTGGTGTGGGATTCTAGGTGTCTATTCAAATCTACAGTCTTAAATAAGGAAGAGGTTTAAATAAGGCCAATCTCTTTGTTTATTAGGTAAAAGAGTTAACCTAGTATATAAGGGGTTGTGTTGGGAGTTTTATTGTAGACCTTTTGCACGCTAATGATATTTGTGAGATTGTTTTATAAGGTCAAGGGGGAGGAACAAAAGACTGTTAGGTTCTTAGCTTTATCTAGGTGAGAGTTTGAGAGCATAACACATCATTCATTCATCATGGAACTTTGTGTAAGCTTTGCCTGTGAGGAAGATCATCAATCTACGTGAATCGGTGTTCATCCAAGAGAAGGTGAAGAAGACGTGGTCTACAAGACAAGAATATTTGATCAAGCTTCTGTTGTGGTGTAAGAAAGTATCAATTGAGTCTTGTATTATGTCCTTAAGTTTTTAGTGAAATTGGCTGTGTGCCTTGAGGTTTTTCTCTCCTGTGTGGAGGGTTTTTTCCTCGTGTGAGATTTCGTACAAATCCTTTGGCTTCGTTTATTTACTCTTTTGATTTTGTTTTGTTGTGAAAAAATCAGGATTGAAATATATTTCAATCTTGCATATTGCATTTAACCTTGATCCATCCAGATTTACAATTACAATTGGTATCAGAGCAGTTCTCTAAAATTATTTAGAGTGATCCTAGGGACTACTGTGATGGATCGAGCAGCTGGATCAATCTCACATCCACCATACTTTGATGGTGAGAACTATGGCGCTTGGAAAGCAAAGATGAAGGCTTTTCTTTGGTCACTAGATGCGTGTGTTTGGAACACAGTAGTTTTTGGTTACTCCCCTCCAACCAAAACTATAATACACAAATCAAAGAAAATATCTGAAGAAGGTAAGGCAGATAGTGATGTTGTCGCTGAGGAAGTTGTTCTCAAACCTCATGAAGAATGGACACTGGCTGATCAAACTCACTCCATGAATAATCAAAAAGGGTTAAACGCTCTATTTACTGCCTTATCTCCTGATCAGTTTTCTAATATTTCAAATTGTGAGACCTCCAAAGAGGCTTGGGATATCTTGCAGGTCACCTATGAAGGAACAAATGCTGTTAAAGAGTCAAAGCTTCAAAGGTATGTCACTCAATTTGAAATTATTAGAATGGAAGAAGATGAAACCTTTTCTGATTTCTATGCTAAGTTAAATAGTATCGTCAATGCTTGTGCTAATCTTGGGGATAAAATTCCTGAATCTAGAGTTGTCAAAAAGGTTCTTAGATCACTACCTTCTAGGTTTCAACCTAAGAAAACTGCAATTGAAGAAGTTAGAGACTTAAACACAATGAAAATTGCAGAATTAGTTGGGTCTTTGAAAACTTATGAAATGGAGCTTCCTACTGTGAAGAGGAGTAAAAACATTGCCCTAAAAGCTGTAAAAGAAGAATGTGAAGAAAGTGAGGAAATTGGTGATGAGGAATTTGCTCTAATCACTAGACAGTTTCAAAAATTTCTCAAGAGTAAAAATTTTAAGGGCAAAGGAACAAGTTCAGGATCTAAATCTTTCAAGTCAAACAATTTTAATTCTGAAAAAGGTTCTAGACTTATTAAACAAACTGAGGGTCGAAAATGCTATGAATGTCAGGGTTTTGGACATGAGGCAAAAGAATGTGCTAACACCTTGAAGAAATTAAAATCTGAAAAAAACAAAGCCATGAAGAGTACTTGGAGTGACAGTGAATCAGATTCAGATTCTGAAGGTGAGATAGTTGCATTTGTGGGATTTGCAAATATCAATGATCTTGAGGAATCTGATAGTCAGGAGCTTGATGCTGAAGAAATACTTCAAAAATATAATGAACTTTATCATGTCTCTGTAAAAATTAGAAAGCATAGTTCTGATATGAAAGAAAAATTGAAAAATCTGGAAACTGAGAAAAGTAGGATCGAAACTGTGTTTCAATCTCGGTTGTCTGAACTTGAGAAAGAAAAAACAAGTCATTAACTTCACAACTTGAGGCTTCTAAAGAAAAAATCATAAGATTAACCATTGGCGCGGGAAAAGATTGACAAAATGCTCAGTATTGGAAAATCCAGTGGAGATAAAACTGGTTTGGGTTTTGATGGTTCCACTGATAGTTCTTTGAGAACAAAATTTGTGAAAGCTTCAGGTACGTGTGCTATGCCTAAGACGTGTGTTCTTACTTGTCATGCTTGCGGTGAGGTAGGTCATATTCGACCTCATTGTGACAAAAAATACTTGAATCATTCTGATAATTTTTCTGTTGGTACTGCACGTACTCATCTCTCAAATCTCTTGAGAGAAGTGAATAGGTTGTCTAAACTCGTTCATATTCCAAATTCCCATTTGCCTAAGATGAAACTTGTGTGGAGAGAAAAGAAAGGGACTAAATTAGTGAATGAATCACATTGCTGCTTACTTGCTCATTCTTCAATTGAGTCTAATGATCTCAAATGTTTTGTTGCCTTTACTGCCTTGGATTCTTGCAACTCTAACAAGTGGTACTTTGACAGTGGTTGTTCAAGGCATATGACAGGTGATAAACGTTGGTTTCAGTCATTCTCAGATAAAAAGGTAAGAGGCACGGTAACCTTTGGTGATGGTAAGAAAGCCAAGGTTTTGGGTGAAGGTACAGTTAAAGCTCCTGGTTTACCTGCTTTGCATAATGTTTTACTTGTTGAAAGTCTTACTGCAAACCTTATGAGTATTAGTCAACTATGTGATGTCTTTGGTAAGGCTATATTTGATGAAATTGAATGCATAGTAAGTACAAAAACAGGTGAAAAGGTCATTTGTGGACCAAGGTCTGATGATAATTGCTATTGTGCTATGGCTAATGGTTTGAATGTTTGCTACAGGGTTGAAAACAATATCACTAATCTATGGCATCGAAGATTAGGACACATGAATTTTAGAGATCTAATCAAAATTTCAAAGAAAGAATATGTAAGGGGGCTGCCCACATTAAGTGGAAAACAAGAAGGAGTCTGTGGTGATTGTCAAATAGGAAAGCAGACCAAAAAGCTCACACAGTCCCACCAACTTCTCATCAACATCAAAACCATTGGAACTTATGCATATGGACTTGGTTGGTCCAATGCAAACTCTAAGTTTGGGAGGTAAAAAGTATATACTGGTTCTTGTGGATGATTTCACTCGCTTTACCTGGGTTGCTTTCTTGCATGATAAATCTGAAGCATTTAAATCTTTCACTGTTTTATGCATGAAAATTCAGAATGAAAAACATGATAACATCATTAGACTAAGGACGGATCATGGGACAGAATTTGAGAATCATTTCTTTTCTGAATTTTGTGATGAACATGGCATTGCGCATGAATTTTCTGCTCCTATCACACCTCAACAAAATGGGGTGGTTGAAAGGAAAAATAGAGTCTTGCTTGACATGAGTAGAGTAATGCTTAATTCTGCAAATTTGGCAAAACATTTTTGGGCTGAGGCAATATGTTCTGCTTGTTACACTGCTAACAGAGTGTATTTAAGACCAAAGTCAAAAGCAACTCCTTATGAACTTTGGAAAGGGAAAAAGCCTAATGTGAGTCATTTGAGAGTCTTTGGGAGTACATGTTACATATACAAAGATAGGGAACATCTCGCTAAATTTGACTCTAGGAGTGACATTGGTGGTAGTAATTATAATGCACCACAAAGTAGCACACAATAATCCAATTAATTTTCCTTATTAACACTAAGATTTGTCAATTGTAGCATATGAAAATAAGGGTCTTTCCCGCAGAAGATTGTTTTATCCAAATACTTAAAAATGTCACAAAAACAGGGTGGCTGTCTCCACTGACCAGCCACCGAACAATAATTATTAAACTAACTTACACTTATCCAAATGCAACGAAATTTTATACACATAAACTAGACACACAGTACAACAGTCTCACAACTTTTTGGGATTTTTGGAGTTGATTTGCTATTTAAATTAAATCGTACAAAAACAGTACAGAAACAGATTTTAAATAATACCAATAGATTTTAATTCACAAGTTAAGAAAAGGAGTTAGGGGAAATGCTATCCACCACCAAATAATCATGCAAGCATGTTATTTTTCATTAAAATTCCTTTTATTTCCGGATGAAGATGCTCAAGTTGGCTCAATGTTAGAACTCAACCTATTACTCTTTCTTACGTAGTATGTTAAGAGAATGGCGTTTTCAACTTAACTTAGTCCCTAGCATGCAATCTAGAATGGCGTGTTCATAGATTTAACAAGTAGAAATCATTAAGAATAAAAAGAGTTTGAGTCATCACAAGGCATCGTAAGTACTGGTGTTGTCTTACTTATCCTAGAAATCGTTTCACATGTTAACCACAATTAACAAGTGCTACTCTAGAACATATGTAGGTCCTCATTCAACAAGGGCAGACACACATATATTCATAGCATTAAAATCCTAGATATGCTCACTATGTATGCATCCATAGAAACACATAAAGAATTTATCAATGACATAAGTAGTGAAACAATTTTCATCCTTTCATAAAAGTCATTCAAACAAAATATCACAACATACTTACAATCCTATTCGGGGCTTCAAAACAGCCCCTAACTACTAAAAATTAGTTACACATCATTATCAAATTAAACCAAAAGTAAAATATCAGTTTGGGAAAATAGAACCGAAATAAAAGAGTGCAGATGTTTCCTCTTTCCCTTGCCAAGCAGTGGTGTGAGCTCTCTATTTTTCTTCTTCTTGTTTTTCTGCTCTCCGTTTTCTCTCTGCGCTTCCTCTGCTTTCGTTTCTTCCTCTCTGTCTTCTCTCTAATTTTTCTGCTCTTTTTTCTTCTCTTCTTCCGTCTCTCCCTTCTTTCCTCTTCTTTATATTTTTTTCTTCTTTTCCTTTTCTTCTTTTCCTTTTCTTCTTTTGTTTTCTTCCTCTCTATCCGTTCATTTTCTTCTCCCTTCAAAACATGAATCATGATGATGTTTCCAAACATCATCATGACTTATCATTATCTTTTTTTTATTTAATTTAAAAGCTGATCTACACAGACAGTTTTGACGAATTTATTACATAAAATTTCACTTGTTCTATTTTTATTTTCTTTGCTAGACAAATCCTATAATACGCAAAAACAAAGTAAATAGCTCAAAAATATAAGGAACTAACTAATAAAAGACAAGTGAAATTTATGTAAAATATATATAAATATGAACTTATCAATTGGTATTTTTCTTGGTTATTCTCTAACTAGCAAGGCTTATAGGGTTTATAACACTCGAACTAAGGCTGTAATGGAGTCCATAAATGTTGTGATTAATGATTCTGATTTGAAGCAGGTCAAACAGATGAAGGATGATGATGATCTTACTGGAATACAAACAGAAAGTAGGAGTGATCAAGTTGCTGTAGTGAATGATGCTTCAAGTATCACAAACTCAGAAGACATCCATGACACATCATCTCAAACACTTATAATTGAAGCTAAGCAAGTAAAAAGAGATCACAAGCCTGAAAACATCATTGGGAAGCTCAATGATAAAATGAGAACTCGAAGTCATGATGTTGAAGAAATAAGCTACTTGTGTTATGTCTCTCAAATTGAGCCAAAAAATGTCAAAGAAGCCATGGTTGACAATGCTTGGATCTTAGCCATTCAAGAGGAGTTAAACCAGTTCAAAAGGAATGATGTTTGGTACTTGGTTCCACGGCCCAAGGATGCCAATGTTATTGGTACCAAGTGGATTTTTAGAAACAAGACAGATGAGAAAGGGAATGTAATTCGCAATAAAGCTAGATTGGTTGCTCAAGGTTACACTCAAGTGGAAGGTCTTGACTTTGACGAAACTTTTGCTCCAGTAGCAAGATTGGAATCAGTAAGATTATTACTAGCAATTGCATGCCATCTCAAGATCAAGCTGTACCAGATGGATGTCAAAAGTGCGTTTCTGAATGGGGTGTTGCAAGAAGAAGTTTATGTGGAACAGCCAGCTGGATTCAAAGATCATTTTCATCCTAGTCACGTTTACCGACTGAAAAAAGCATTGTATGGTTTGAAACAGGCACCCCGGACTTGGTATGAGAGGTTGTCATCGTATCTGCTTCAAAATGGTTACACTAGAGGAGCAATTGACAAAACTTTGTTTGTCAAACGGGTTAAAAGTGATTTAGTTGTTGCTCAAGTTTATGTGGATGATATTGTGTTTGGTTCTACCTCCAATCTTCTAGTTTCTGAATTTACTAGTATTATGAGTAATGAATTTGAGATGAGTATGTGTGGAGAATTGAATTACTTTCTTGGTTTGCAGGTCCAACAACTTAAAGATGGCATGTTTCTTTCCCAAACAAAATATGCAAAGGAACTTGTCGCTAAGTTTGGTTTGGAAAGTGCCAAACAAGTGAGAAATCCCATGAGCACCACAGAGAAGCTCCACAAAGATCCTACTGGAGAACCAATTGATCAAACGTTGTATAGAAGCATGATAGGGAGTCTACTATACCTTACTGCTAGTCGTCCTGACATCTCCTTTAGTGTTGGTGTTTGTGCACGATTTCAATCATGTCCTAAGCAATCACATTTGACTGTTGTTAAAAGAATAATACGATATGTAAGTGGCACTTTAAGCTTTGGAATTCATTACTCATTCAACTCAAATGTGGAAATTGCAGGATTTTCGGATGCAGATTGGGCTGGTAATATAGATGATAGAAAAAGCACTTCAGGCGGTTGTTTTTATCTGGGAAACAACTTAGTCGCGTGGCATAGTAAGAAACAAAATTGTGTCTCACTCTCCACCGCCGAGGCTGAATACATTGCTGCTGGAAGCTGCTGCACACAACTGTTATGGATGAAGCAGATGTTGTGTGACTATGGTATAGTGCAAGGTAAGTTGATCATTTTTTGCGATAACCAAAGTGCCATTAATATCTCAAAGAATCCTGTTGAGCACTCTCGCACTAAACACATTGATATAAGGCATCACTTTATACGTGATCTTGTAGAAGACGAT